CTTGAGGGAGTGTAATATCTTTGGTTGAATTTTGATGTTAGATATGAGTCATATGACCAAAGAGTGGTCAGTGTCGCAGTCAGCGCTGTGGTATCGCAGTCAATCTTGTGTTGCGCACGCTGTTCAAAGAGTCGCGCCGTGTGATAATCAAGTCCAGCTGGTGCCAGTGCTTCGATTTCGAATGTCTCCAGGATGCCCTGTGGGGGTTGCCTGCCGAAGACCACCACTGCCCTAGATGTAATGGACCATCATGATTCCTGCCTTCCGGAAGGTAGCCTTCAACACTTCAAGCCATCCGTATCTAGGCCGTGGGTCGAACCAGCCCTCGGTCGAACGGCCACTTGTCGAAGGACGATAAATTTCGGAACAGAACTATGCTATCTGAAACCTAACCTCAGATGCGGTGAACGTAAAATTACGTAATTTAACGATGCCTGGAAGTAATATTCGATCCGCGGTCTGGTGGTGCACGGCAGGTGGTGGTCAAGGCCGGAAGAGGACAAAGCCGAGTGGTGCACGGCTATAATTATGCTATCTGAAGCCTAACCTCAGATGCGGTGAACGTAAAATTACGTAATTTAACGATGCCTGGAAGTAATATTCGATCCGCGGCCTGGTGGTGCACGGCAGGTGGTGGTCAAGGCCGGAAGAGGACAAAGCCGAGTGGTGCACGGCTATAACAGGTGTACGTCCGGAGAGATCCAAGGCGTTCGAATCAGGGCTTATTGGTGCACAAAATTGGTGGTGCACGGCTGCGCTCCCCCCTGTGGCACAGCTGTTTCTGGAAAAACGTGTTCGTCACGCACATGTTGCGGTATCAGCAGAATTCTAACAACCTCTGACCGTTTTCATTCATTTTCCACATGCCGTGGCGACCAGCACATCAGGTCATGACTCGTGGCCCGTCCCAACTCTGGCGTTGAAATCACCAACAAGGTATATATGCTCCGACAATGGGATCCCGTCAATGGTATTCGCCAAGAGTTCGTAAAAGCTGTCTTTGGTCGGAGGCGGTGCTTAGAGTGTTGATGCTTATACCGAGTTATACGTAAATGATGTTTGTAAAACCAGCTGAGGTTGAAAGACGCAGAGTGAGGATCCTCTCAATGTCACCATGCGGGTGTTCAATCATGCAAAGCAGGGTGTTCCTGACGGCAAAGCCAACTCTATGCTCCCTAGCTTCCCCGACATCTTTCCCCTGCCAGAAAAAGGTGTAGTGTTTCTCTTTTAGAGAGCCTATTTCAGGGAATCGAGTTTCCTGTAGCGCTGCTATGTCCACATTTAGTCAATGCAGCTCTCTGTCAATCCCAGCGGTCTTACGAAAGTCTGAAATGACACAGAGGTCATCGGATAAACTAGATAAAGACTAGATAAAGCAATGGAGACGTATAGGTTCAAACTTGAAATGCCTTGCACCATATCGAACCTTGTGGAACTCTACAAGAATCAGCGATAGGCCGAATCAGGCCGATTCATCAGCGCCGACATCACTATGAATCACTATGAATCACAGGCCATGGGCCTATTTTTTCAACGCCGACACTTCTATTCTATATGATGATATGATACTGAAACGCATTTCCTATGAACCATTTTTTGCTGATAGGCCGTGCTAGTACTAACTATTATCGAAAAATGTGTCCGTTTGTACAAGTGCATCATGGTCATACAATTCAAAATTGCTCTCCGCCTTACAGATGTTACGAGTCTCTATTTAGCAGCAAATGAGGGTACCAATTTTAACAGTGGCCCAGTGGTTAAAGCATAGAGTACCAAGATTGGAGCAGAGAAGCGCGGGTTCGATCACAGGCTCTGTGCGCCAGTTTCTGGTCAGAATCGGCAAGGAGGCCGGGCGGTTAAGCAAAGAAAATTTGATGCATGAGAGTTGCGAATTCAATCTTGCAACAAGCCGTGGATGTTCTGCAATATTAAGAATCGGCGACAGGCCTACGGCCTAGTAAAGGCTGAAATCGCTATATTCTACTATATTATATATTAAATTATAATACATTTTGGAGGCTGACTTCGTTAAGAAGAACATCATAACCATACCAAAAAACTGTTTCGTTCTTCTACAACAGATTTTCTCGGCCAAATGCTTCGCACTATTCGTTTATTTCTAATTTGAAAATTTCAATAACCTTTTCCTATGGAAGACCTCTCGGAGGTCTTCCATAGGTCGGAGGAAAGGTCTCGGACCTTTCCTATGGGAGACCTTTTCCTATGGAAGACCAGGTTATATGGAAGACCTCTCGGACACTTTTACGGCCAGAGTAAAGGCAGGTCTCCAAGTTTCAGTGAACCTAAAATATCTCCCAAGCTGACGAGAGCAGCTTGATGAAACTATGCACTCGGGCTCAATAGGACCTAACAGTGATGTTTAAGTCGTGAACTCTTGGTAATTTTTTCAGTTTTGCCTTCGTTTTTGAGTAATACGGTCCAAAATTCGCTGTGAGTCTAATATATATTGTACACTACTGTACAGTTGAATGAAACTTTTGATATACATTCTAACCACCTAATAGTGAGGTGTTAGTTGTGAAAATTTTTGCGATTTTGCTTTCATTTTCGAGTTATATGACTATAGTCACTATACGGAAAAACAACTGGCATTTCTGCAGCCGATTGTCAAATTTATAGTGAGCCTAGAAATATATCCCAAACTAATTAACGGAGCTCCATGAAATTTGTACGTGCATATGTTGGGCCACAACGGTGATGTTTAGGTCGTGCTAATTTTTTCGATTTTGCCTTCGGTACACTTCTTTTCATGGTAAATTCCGTGTACTGCGGTCCATGCCGCAAACGAATCCAAAATCGAAAAAATGGTTACAACCACGACATCGCCGTTAGTTCCTAATGAATAGATGTGTTAAGTTACTTCGAGCTTCGATCATTAGTTTGGGAGATATTTTTTTCCCAATGCAAATTTGATAACTGCGCGCATAATCGACCACAGAAATGCCGATTGTTTCTGCGTCCTGCCGCACAACTCATGTACGAAGACAAAACTTGAAAAAAATAGTTAGGATGCATGATATGTTAGACTCACTGCGAGTATTGTAATGTATATCTTGTAAACGAAGGCAAAATGAAAAATAATATCGACATAAACTTCAATGTTATGGCCTAATAAATGCACGTGCAAAGTTTAATCAAGCCATGTTAATTAGTTTGAAGATGATTTAGGCTCACTTACTTGGAAACCGGCCGCGAGTGCCGGGTTGAGCATGGTTGAATTAATTATTAGTTTTAAATAGCTAAAGCTAACTACAGGGACACATTAGTAACACTCCTGCGGCTATGTCAACCCAAAAGTAATTGACTGACGGGATTGTGATGTCCCGCCCAACGATTTACTCTATAACTTGCATGTAGCGCTAAATTCAAGGCATAGCTAACTACAGGGACATATTAGAAACACTCATGCGCCTACATATGTCCAATCTAAAGGAATATTAATAAAGTTTTTTTGGGGATATGTTATTATATAAGCTATTACACGCGTTTGCCAAAGGAAGTTTGTGATATTATTCAACTACTAACAAAAAATATTACGAAAATATTTTTTTATCAAAATCAGTGATGTGGCAAATTATGTCACCTCAGTTGGAACCATATACTACCGGGATTTTCTAGTCCCAAATATATCATTTTTACCATTAACATATATTTAATTATTTTTTACACGGAGATGCAATATTCGGTCCAAGTTCATGATGATTCTGTAGAAAAATGCGAATAAAAAGTTGTAGAACACATTGCCGTCACGAAAGGGTTAATTACCTTGAATTATTATTAATTCAACCATGGGTATAAGTGTCTGAGATGTTTATGGAACTCTGCAGGAGTCATCGACTTATCTTCAATAAATCTAAACAAATTAATGTTGTTTTACGAAAGTCAATACGTCCCTGTATTAAATTATTTATGGATTTTTATATGATAGTAAATTTAAAATGGGAATTTTGAACCAATTTTGTTTTTTATTTAGTGTTTATTTTCTCGATCCCATTCCCCACAATTGGCGTCTTCATTCTCCATGGTTGAACTAATAGTTAAAAATGTGTTGAAATGTTCATTCTCTCGGTTGTATATCCGGTTCCGTATTTCAGTCAGTACAACGCTGCCGATTGCCGAAACTAGGCAGTGCACGTGTTTGGAGAAAGTCAGTTGCGTTCGTTGTGTAAGCACGTGTGCCATTTTGCGCTCTCTGTCCTCTGATTGATTTACTGATAAAAGTTCTCTTAGAGTTAATTTTTGAAAGATTTTCCAGACCAAAGTCATTAAGTAAGTAGTAACACGACTGGCTTTCTCCCACAAGGGTTTGTCAGTCATTCGTTTTTTTTTTTGTTTTTTTTTTGTTTTTTCTACTCTCTCCTACTTCCTTCCTTTTGACTGCAAGTTGCCTGTTGCCATCTTTTTGTTAGTTTAGTTCTTTGTTGTTACTGTTAGGTATGGACTCAGACTGTCTTGCTGGGTCAGACCGTCAGGTTTTGGCCCTCCAGCTGACTCTGGCTCAGGGGTCATTGTGATTGATGGAGTGGATGTTCAGGGTACTATTGTTGAGGACTCAGATCTAGATAGTCTCATTGATGCAACTCCAAATGTGAATGTTGGTGTCGGCCGAAAACGCAGGGTTTGGGAAACAAGTGGGTCTTCAGAAAATCTTGTTGGTACAAAAGTGAAGCGTGTAGCAACTGTCTCTTATACACATCTAGATGTGTATAAGAGACAGGCTGCCATCCGTCTTCTGGGTCAATATTTGCACAGCTGCAATATGGTGACCAGGCTATGAAGTTCCTCAAAGTCTAATTACTATTTTTCTTTTTCTCCTCACTATTTACTGCCACACTGGTTGGTGGAAGTGCTGAAAGAGAAATACAAAGTGAAATCAACAAGTGAAGTGGAGTGATCAAAATCTGAGTTGTGCTCAGGCTGGGAGGTGTGCTACCTGCATACCCGAAGTCTTCAAATCAAATTAAAAAAAAAAATAGGCAGTGCACGTGTTGTTTTTAACGATCAGCTGGGACTTTCCGTCTCACAATTAGTAAATCATTTTTGTTAGAATAATAAATTTGAATAATTATTTGATTAACTTTCAGCTACTGCAATTTTAAACCCTATAATTTCAAATGGGGAAAATAAAACGGTGAGTTGTTAATTCACGATTTGCCTACCTACCTACTTTTGCTAGGTTAGCACTTCTAGTTCCTAGTCCTACCTAAAAATAAAATTTTACTGAATTGCAGTTGCATTCAAAAACTGAATAATGATACTACCCTCAGAGTTGCAGACTCAGTCTCAAATTAAGATTGAGTTTTTTCAATTTAGGCTATGTTTTTGAGATTTTATTTTATTATTGATTTTTTTTCAAAATTTTTGGTATGTAGGTTGCCTAGCCTAAGCCTATGTGTTCAAAGTTTTTGTTTATATGACTTTCAAGATGAGATGTAGAGTCTAGAGATGGTAGAGACAATTATTGAAAATTAGGGCAGAATTCCAGCAGTGAGCAGTCCAACCTATCCAGCCATGCCCATACCCAGCCTAAGGTACCCAGGATGGTGCCGTTTTCTGCGGATTAATCCGGCGTAAACCAGGCTGTAAGCCCTTCTACTGGCGTACAACGCGGCGTAGAAAGAGCTAAAATAACGTTATTGGCGCACATCCGTGATGGACCGGCTTGCCCGATATCGCTTCCTCTTCAAGGTAACGTATGGATGTTAACAAACATTACGGTTCGCCCTAGTAACAAAGCTTAGTCTCTCAATTTGAAAATATTTTAACAAGGCCTGAACATTGCGGACAATCTTGGTAAAAATAAATAAATAAATAAACGGATGAAGCAAATTACTAATTGCGATTCAAATTTGAAAAACTTTCATGTGCCCCGCTATGGCTAAATTTTCACAGTAATTCATTGTTATCGCTTATAACTTTTTCAGAAATGTGTTACTGTTTGAATAGATCAACTGCATAATTTTGGATTTATCTAGCTAGTGTTATTAGAATGAGGTAAGTTACAGCTTAAGAAATTTGGTTGTTGTGACTAATATTCCTTATTGTTTTGCCAGGAGTTGGCACAATTGGACGAACTGATGAAGGAGCAAGTTACTATTCTTTTAAATCGCCTAAAAAATAATGAGCAACTTAATTTACTACACCCTCCTGAGGAAGAGCAAAGAGAGACTCGTCCAACGCACCTCTTGGGTGTCGTCCAACGCACTACCAAGGATGAAGCGGCCGACGTCTCAAAAACTGAAATTCCTGCAGATGAAGAATCGAGTGATTCGGATGACGAGGGTAGGTTTCTTTTAGATCGCACTAGACTAATTTGTTACCGATTCTTTTCTATATGTAAATGAGTTATAATAATTATGAAGGGGTTGAGGTTGCACACAGCACTTAGATGATTCTCATTACTTGAGAAAGATAATTTTCATCGAAAAATTCGGTATTATTTATTTAGCATTATTACGAGTTTTTGCTCTGGAATCGTGGCCATTAAATTTGCGTTCAATGATTTCTAAGTTTTCAATATGTTATTTCAGTCCTTGACGTTTCTCTAAAAATAAGTCTGTGGTGTCTTGATGAGCAGCAAACAAAGCTTTGTCAGCGGCTGGAGACTCGCAGCTCGTGGATGAGGACGACAAGCGTCTCGTCGGCAAGGCGATCCTTAGCAACCGTGGCCTGACACCGCACAGGAGGAAGGATCTCAAGAACCCCCGCGTTAAATACAAGACCAAGTACTTGGAGAAGGTCAAGCGAAGGAAAGGACAGGTCAGTTTTATCCTATTGTCAACAGTACTATTAAAAATTGCTTGAGAACACGTAGCAACCAATTTCTCGCTTGAATAGGGTGAGAAAGCCGTCACTGATTTGTTGACGGAATATAAATAAACGTATTGTTTTTGATGTTACGAATCTTCCGAAGATTTGCCAATGAACAATTCTCATGCATGCTAGGTACTCGGAATAATCGTTATAATCCATGATCGGAGGCAAAGCGTCACGAACTGAATTTATTCTTTGGATCTAGAATTTTGTGATATTGATTTTCCTTGGCTTCATTTCATTATCACTTTCTATCCTCATCATCAGTCATCAGAGAACGAATTACCTACGCCGTTTTCTTTTCCTCTTGCGTAGTGCATTCATCTATATCTTTCATATGTTGCAAATAACCATAAGGATGGTAGTATTGATTCTTTTTTTTTTCTACAGGTCCGACCCGTCAGAAACGAAATTCCGTTTTATAGTGGCGAGAAAACTGGTATTAATGCTTACGCAGTTAAAAGCATAAAGTTGAAATAAACGAAAAATAGACCAACTTTCGTTTTTTTTGGCACTTGACTCCATAAGTGTACATGTACGACAACTTTACCTAAAGTTTAGCAGACTAATCAGGCTTATTGCGCGAACAGAACTAATAGATGCGAGATTTCATGTAATAGGACTTATAGAGGAGTTTGTCGAGTAGGCAGCCAGGGCGTTCAGTTCATGGTTACTCCAGTCTTCCACGCGCTTACTGCTTTGGGTAGTAAAACGTTACCCACGTTTTCAAGTTGGGAGTACTATCTCCAATTGCATATATTCACTGAACGGATAAATATTCACTAAACATGCATGTGCAAGGAAAGATATACACAGCTGAATTTATTTCAATATATGAATAGGGATATTTACAATAAAGATATACAATGCTTCGCGAAGCGTACGTATCTAAATAGACCTTGACTAGGAATAGTGAGGCAATTAACTAATCCTCCACACGCCTAATGTCTCTCCCAAAGAGATGACATTGCTATCCCTTACCCACATTAACGAACTTTTAACAATCATAGACGAGGTATTCATTTCTAAGCATGGCATAGTAATTTGCACCAATGTATGAACTCGACAATCACCTCGTACGGCGTTGCGAACTTAACCTTAGGAAGAAACTTCAGAATACGCGTTAATCAGCTTTCAACTTCTTCCGTAAATTTTATCGCAAACACTTTCGGCAAAGATAATTCCCCGTAAGGACTGTAATCATTTAAATGGTCCAAAAAGATAAACAACAATTTTTATACGTCTAATGAATTCCTTCATTAATATACGGAGGAATTAGCATAAAATTCATTGCAACAATCATATCACATAAGCAAACTCCGATGACGCTGAAGGCTTGGTATTTAAGTCCACGAAGGCGTTCAAATCTTGCCAAAAAATAAGACATATCATTACGCCTATGTTTTGAACGAAAGTCTAGCAATGAACTCCAAATATATGGCTCTTTAGTCTCTACAATAAAAACTTGAAATTATGTTAACTAATTCCGATTCAATCGACAAAAGTCCGAGCTTCTCCCCACGAGACGACACTTAATCACGTCCGCCGAAGTTATCATGGCACAAAAGCGCTACGACCGGAATCAAGGTCATAACAATCGAGGTAACAGTTGTTTTAATTTTTTTATGTTATGATGTATTCTATTATATTAGGTTGTGTTATAATGTGATCTGATATAGAATCATGTGTCATGTTATGTTGTGTTACAATGTGTTGTATCATGTTTGATTGTGTTATAGTTTTTGATGCTATATTATGATGTGCTATAATGTGCTGGGTTGAGCTATGATGTCTTATAATGGGTTTTATTAGGATATGTTGCAGTATAATTTGTTTTGTTGTTCTATGTTATGTTACGATGTATAGTATTATATCATGATTAGTTGTTATAATGTATTGTGTCATGTCATTACAATGTGTTATGCTATGTTATTTATGTTATGTTGTGTTACAGTGCATTGAGTTATGTAATGTTGTTACATTATGTTGTGTTGTAATATGTTATGCTATGATATTGTTTGTTATAATATGTTATGTTATAATGTAATGTCAATGTTAGGGTGTGTTATAATGTGTTGTATAGTGATATGTTGTGATGAGTGCAGTGCTGTTGTGCAGTGATATTTTGTGTTGCAATGTGTTGTGTTGTTAACACGTTGACTACGTATTGGTACATATGTGTACCACGAAATGTATTTCTCCAGGAGGTAGTGGTACATAATTCAGGTTGCCTAAAATCAGCCAAATCCGAGAACAAAAAAGGCCGATAATTCAATGTATTCTAGTTTATATGTAGGTTCCGCTATAAAAATTCCATTTATTTTTTTTGCAGTATTTAAAATTTAATTAGGAAGTACCCCTATCATAAATTGTAGTCGGCCAACGCAATTGAGAAAAACTAAATCACGGAATTTGTCCGGAAAAAATGACCGTCTGGCAACCCTGCTTAAAAAAAGTACAAAAAATGAAATAATAGTACAAGATGAAGCAATCGTAGTCAACTCTGCACCTTCCTGACCATGGCTTTCCAGGAATGGATTGGTAAATTATAGATTCACATTTCAACATCAAATATTTGCCTAGGCTTTAGAATTAGGCAGGCTAGGAAAAGCCTTGTTTTTTTTAATATTGCAGCTCCAATATCATGTTATTTCAGTAGGTATGAAATCTTGCAGCTTTAATGGTATGTACTCTTGTTTGATTGAAAAAGTTGTGGTTATCACTCCAGCCAAAATATTCTGCAGAATGTAATAACAAGTTAACCTAAAACGTTTCATTGAAGATCACATAGTTGCGGTCACGACTCAGAGTGGTCAGACTGCATTATCACGTGTTCAGGTGCCACTTAAGTGAAGACAAATGTTAGTGTTGCTGTACAATTGGACTATTTTTATGGTAAAATTAGATATTTGGGGTAACATGTGCATGCGAGTTGCATGCACATGTAGCTCAGACAGACCCAAGAGCACGTCAGAGCGCTATGTCATACTGTCACTCATACATGACGTAACTCGTACAGACGTACACTATCTGTGATTGGTTTGAGCTTGTTGGTAGGCAACCAAAAGCAAAGTGGGTAACGTGAGGGGCGTTTTTTTTACTCCCATTTTAATTACCATATAAGGTAACTTACCCACAAAAGCGTTAATGTTATGAAACTAAGGAATGAAGTGTCAGTCAGTGTTAGAGGGTGCAACATTCAGCAGCAAAGACTAAACTGAGCAGGGCTGGAAAAGTCCAATTTTTGTCTGAAATATCGCAGCTCTAATATAATATAATTTCAGTAGGTATGAAATCTTGTGGCTCGAATGTCATAAA